TAGCAACAATTTGGGAATGGAGGGTGAAAAAAATCTCCTGAGCTGTATTCTATGATTTATTAGAGGCAAAAAATATTTACCATTTCAGTACTTTCCAACTTTCTGCTTGTTTAGTTATACTGGGTTTTATGCAATAGCACATCATTTATTAATAAGCTAAGAAAGCAAATACATGTCCAGAATACTCCATTTACTTTATCTCCAAATCAGTATCAAACATGGAGTTATTGCTATATGCAAGACTATGTGCTACTCAGAATAAGGAATGAAGACCCCTAACCTTGAGAAAGACTAAGTATAGCTACCAAAAGGAAGCCAGTGATACACGCTATTGCAGAGAGGTACAATTTACATAAGAACAAGTGACTATGCCTAAAACAGTTGGTGAAACATTCATGGCAGTGACAGTGTTTGATCTGTCTTGAATGCTGGTAGACCCAGGTTCTTTAGCCCAAGATGTCCTGAATATTTGAAGGAGAAACTCCCCCTCCACCCTTCTGCCATTTGTCTCGGTCTCCATGGTGTAATGTTCAAGAATTTGGGCTTTGGAGAAAGGTAGACTTAGGTTTAAGTCCTGACTCAGCCACACTGGTTAAGTTACCACATTGCCACAATGGATAAATTATTCAATTTCTCTGAGCCTTAGTTTCTGATCCTGTAAAGCAAGGGGAAATTACGAGTTTTAAATAAGATAAGTATATGTAAAACATAACTTACGTGTGTCTGACACATTATAAGTGCTTAACACTTGTTATCATGTGGTAAACTGCTAATCAGCTACTTTGAACAAAGAAACACAAGGAAATGAAGTAGATGGTTGGTAGGGAAAAACAAGGCATTCATTTCAGATAAAATCTTTGGGGACAAAATTCTTCCAACATCTAGGTGCATTCTGGAGACAGAGAAGACTACAGTTGCATATAGGAAGGGAAGTAATGGAGTAGCATTCAATGAAGGAAGGCTGATAGCAAGGGATATTGCTACTTCTACCATTAACTCAGCATCTACATCCTGGGGCTAGCCAGCCTATAAACTCACAAACTGATGTGGGAGAAGTTGTGATGAATCGTAATGATTTGGGTTCTGGAACTTTAGACTCCCTTTGCATGTTAGTTCAGAAGACCTGTTGGTATGGTTAACAGTAATGGCAGCTAACATTTTGCCAAGTGTTTGCTCTGTACCAGGCACAGGACTGGCACTTTAAAGTTATAATTGTGCGGATAACTGGGAAAGGTGGTTGAAGCAGGGAGCCTGATAACAAGGAAGGTGAAAATTATCTGGCTGGG